TCAGACGGCCATTCCCTCACTCGCATTCACCCCTTCCATTGGCACAACCCCTCCTCTTCTCTAACTTCAGTTAACTTAGGGTTAAATTTATTTAAAATACAATTAGAGGTAATTTAATAAGTAGAGTTTGAACTAGATAATGAAATTCTGGTCTTCTTATCAATTCAAGTAACATAGATGCGAGGACTAAGCGAAAAAAACTTCAAATATTATAGGAGTTCTATAAACTTCCAAAACTTATTGGCGGTAAGTGATTTTTCAAAGTTTTAGGGGGTTTGATTTTTTCAAAGCTTTAGGGGGTTAAGTGAAAAGCTATCATACCTACTGAGGGTCAGGTGATACGAAGCTTTTACTGGTGAAGTTAAAAAGCAGACACTTATTGAGGGTTAGTGAAAGTTACCCTAAATATAATCTCTTGAAAATTACCTTAACGTGGCATTTTCACTACAGCATAAAATATCACCATATACATATAATTCCCAGATGTGTGCTACATATATCATAAAGCATAATCCAAGATACAAATATTTTCATGTATTTTGATATTGGATGTGTTTGAACTATTTTAATTAAGGGAAAAATATAATGTGAAAATTTTGTCACGTATTCAAGGCTATAGTGAAATTTACCCTAAATATAATCTCCTAACGACTACCTTAATGTGGCATTTTCATTGCAACAAAAAATATTGCAATACATATAGTAATTCCTAGATGTGCTCTACATAAATAATTAACCATAATCCACCATTGAAATATTTTCAGGTATTTTGATTGGGTTGTGTTTAAACTATTTTAATTAATGGAAAAAGGACAGCAGTTGAGAAATATAAAGTGAAGATTAACTTATTTGAGTGTAATAGAGGGAAGGAAAAAGAAAAAAAGAGTGTTACACAAAAACAATTTTACTCTTTATCAAGATGAGATCCAAAAGGGAGGAATGACATGTAAATATACATATATTTCCTTACCTTTCTTTTACTTTATTATTTATTAAAGATCTCAAACGGGGTGAAATAAGTTCCTATTGGTTTCTCGTACTAAATTCTCAAACAAGTTTTGTATACTAACTTTAACTTCTCTTAACTTATCCTATGTTTATTTAACTTTCCTTCACTAGGAGCAAATCCGAACAGGCCCTTAAGCAAATAAATCAGTCACCAACATCATTATCATTTTCGTCAATATGTTTCCCATCAAAAGGGTGCCTAGTGTCAAGCAAAAATCTAAGTAAAGAAGGGTGCACAAAAGTAAAGCTGTGAGCACAGTACTTCAGAAAAACTAAGAAACATAGTAGATAAAGAAGGATAAAAGGAAGCAACTGAATGCAGTTTTTATTTCATGAAAAATTATAAGTAGCCGAGAGATGTTGCATTGTAAAGCTCTCTCGTTCCCAAATAACATTTTAGTCCCTTTGGGTTGTTGTTAGCTTCAGGTTTTTATTTATTTACCAAAACATATATTCATAATTTCAAAACTTCGAATAAAAATGTGACCAATATTGTTCTCTTATACCATGAATAACTTACGACAACTAGATATTAGATTCAAAACTTAAACATCAGACTCCTCACTTGGATGAATTATATTTCTAAATAATGAAAGGTATATTAAGGAAACAAAATGAACATAAACAATGTATGACCTGGAAGTGTCATGGAAAAAGCTTCTTCTATAACTTCAATACCAGAAGCCAAACCAGTAACTAAGGCCTCAAACAAAGAAGCAGCGCAAATCAAGACAACAGAATATTCTTTTATATCACCAAGAGCCCATGCAGATTGCAAGACTTTAATTTGTTCTTTGAATCCTTGCCGCGCTCTTAGAATTTGCAAACCTGATGGTCGAGACTTGAAAGGAGTGTATTTTATATTACCACCTAAGCAGCATAATATGTGAACTGCACGCTGCGGCGAATCAGAGTTGCTAGCAGACCTACAAATTTCCATCTCCATTTCAGCATACCAGAAGTAAAGAAGAGGAACGTATTCCATCAGATCCTGTGGCAATTGTTTAAAAAATGTCAGAATAATTTCAAATCGTCAATAAATGAAGATACTTAAATAAATGTTACCAGGAAAAGAAGTTCAGATGATAAGTGTAAAACTCAAGTAACAATCAACTAATATTGCAAATACACCCACACATATCGACCCTCACTTTCTCACACTAACAACTAGACACTCAAGTAACAGTCAGATAGACAGGGACGCCTATGAGGATTACCATTTGCGGAAAAAGGAATGGCAATAAGTAAATATGTTCACCCAAGTAAATTTAGAAGGCCAGATGATGCAGAATGGAGGCGATCCAACTCTAATTGTAGATCTAAATATGGGGGGAAAAAGAATAAAACAAAAAAAAATTGGGGGTTAGCCGGTTACATAAGCAGCACCTTACCAGATTTGGCTTGACACATGTTGGCTTCACACCTTGGCACGCATGCCTACTAGCAACACATTTTAAACTTTCATAATTTTTATTTTCAAAATTTCTCTTCCCCTTCAAATGAAGTAAGTGGTTAATTGTAGAATAAAATTCTATCAGACCAAACAAATTCCTAGCTAAATTCCTACCTAAATATCGTAGCATCTCAACTAAAACATCAAAACCAAAAGAATAACAAAGTAATCTGATCTTCAAGATGTCGGATATCACCAGATATAAGAAAACTGTCGGTAATCAAACAATAGGACCTTTAAGCTTACAAAAAAAGATCATGGAATAACCATCATAAACATAACTGGGCAGCAGTAACTACATAGTTATGAACCCAGCTAAACAATTAACAATATCATATGAGTAAAATAAAATGCAATGAAATAATAGATGCTTTGAACAAGAAACTAACTAGCTTCAACCTCAACAATTGAACAATCATTAACTAAGAATAAGAGTTCAAAACTTTTAAATAAAATAATAATTACTGATATAAACTATACAACTTATTGCTTCCCGGGTGGTTACAATGTAAAATATTCATGATGTTTCTAAAAGTCAAACGGATCCAAGCAACCTGAACAAAAGCATAGCGATATGTTGAGATTGATTCTTTCGATAAAAAATAAAAAATTAATAAATATGGAAATTGCAGTCTTCATTTAAGAATAAAAAAATATACAAATGTGAATTTCACGCTCAGGCACTTCACATGCTGGCAACTCAAATGGCTAATGCTAGCTAGAATTTACATGGAAGATTTCTAACAAGCATTCCCTCCTGTCAAATGAAAAAGTACATTATTTATAGAAGTAAAACAAAATTTTAATCCTAGCTAATGGATAACATCAAATCACACATTTAAACAAAATAACAGATTCATTCCTAACTAACAACAAACTCAATTTTAACTAAGATCTCAACCAAAAAAAATTAAGTCCTTAAAACAAATAAAATCAAACTAAAATCTTCATCAAATCTTTTGCAAGATATGTTCTTGATTTTACATCAAATCTCCCGTGGTTGAAGAAACTCGATCATGAGTTTAAAACTAAAAATTGTTGGACTTTGAATTATTGCATTGTTGATTCATAACTGCAACAATAGATCTATTTAGCTCTGATACCAAATGATGAGGTATGAAAGCACAACGATTTATTGATTACTTGGATAAAAAATTAAAAATAGAAAATATGGAAATTGCAGTTTCTTCATTTAAGAATTAATATATATATTTTAAATTTTTTATATATATATTATATAATATATATATTATATATATATATATATATATATATAGTATATATATATATATATATATCGGGCCACACCCAAGCACTTTACATGTCAATAACTCACATGCCTAATACCAACTGCAATTCACATGTAGGATTTCTTACAAACATTTCTCTCCTCTCACATGAAAAGTACATCACTCTTTATAGAAGTAAAACATAATCTTAATAATAACTAATGGATATATCAAATCACACATTCTAACCAAATAACAGATTCAATCCTAACTAAACAAAAGATTCAATCCCAACTAAGATCTCAAAAAAAAAAGTGCCAACCAACAAGATTGGGCAAAGTTGATTGACATAGCCCAATTTTCCTACAATTAGCAGCGGAGTGAGTTCACGGGGAATAGTTCGTTAAGATTGTGTTTGGTAGCTAACCCCACTCCAAACAACGTTGCAACTGGTCATAAATGGAGTAGATCAGCAGCCTACAAATTTGCTAAGAAATGGCAAGAGCAGAACGAGCCGGCGCATTCGTGCTTGAACAAGATTGCAAAAAGGAAGAAGAAATGGGTTGACAATTAACGATGACATATTACGTATGAGGCTGGAGACTCCGTCCTTATCAAGCTGTCCACACTTGATCGACACAACGTATTGAGGGCCCATTTTCAATTATGAAGGAGGGAAATGTTTCCTACAAGGTTGAACTCCCCCCACACTCCACTAACATCTGGCCTTTCGCGTGATCATGTTGAAGCCATGTCACAAGGATGCAAAAGACCGAATCCATGGGAGATCAAGTCGAGCACCTGCTACAGTTCGCATGGAGTTCAATAAGGAGGCTGAGGAGATTTTGGTGGATAGGATGGTTCGTGAAGGGAATAATTGACAATGGCTAGAGTACTTTGTTCGCTAAAGGGGTTTGCCTGAAAGCAAGTATAGTTGGGAGTCAGCCAAGACCGTGGCAATTTGAAGACTAGATAGAGCGCTTCAAGAGAAAGAAAGCAAAGCGATGAGGACATC